CCAGACTGGAGTGCAATGGCACGATCTCAGCTCACCGAAACCTCTGCCTCCTAGGTTCAAGCAATTCTCCTGCCTCAGCCTCCTGAGTAGCTGGGACTACAGGCACGCACCGCCATGCCCAGTTAATTTTTGTATTTTTAGTAGAGACGGGGTTTCACCTTGTTGACCAGGATGGTCTCGATCTCTTCACCTCGTGATCCACCCGCCTCGGCCTCCCAAAGTGCTGGGAGTATAGGCATGAGCCACCGTGCCCGGCCCCGCTTACTAACTTTAAGTACCTATGTGGGACAGGGATCCTGTATCGTCAACAACAGCAGCCATTCCTGCTACCGACAAGCACCTGCCTGTCCTGCGTCTACACTGCACTGCACTTAACTCAGGTCATCTGAGTAAGCGTATGGGGTAGAACTGAGGCTCTGAGAGAGGAAGTAAACTGGCCCCGTTCATAAAGCTTATGAACAACAGAGCTCAGATGCAAATGTCAGAATCGATCTATCCAGCTGGAGTTTTTGTTTGTTTGTTTTATGAGACAGAGTCTTGCTCTGTCGTCCAGGCTGGAGTGCCATGGCATGATCTCAGCTCACTGTGACCTCTGCTTCCCGGGTTCAAGTGATCCTTGTGCCTCAGCGGACTACAGGCGAGCAACACATCTGGCTAATTTTTGTCTTTTTAGTAGAGACAGGGTTTGATCATGTTGGCCAGGCTGGTCTTGAACTCCTAACCTCAAGTGATCCATCTGCCTCATCCTCCTAAAGTGCTGGGATTATAGGCATGAGCCACCACTCCTGGCCCGGCCTGAATTTTTAACCCTAATTCTATACTACCTCCTGGACCATGGGATCCATCATCCTAAGAGGTAGGGACTGTATTTATCTTCTTTTTACAATGAAAAAGCAGATACTGAGAGAGGTTCAAAAACCTACTGAAGGACACACAGAAACCTACTCAAGGCCTTGAATGCAGACCTGCCTGCCCCAAAAGCCTGTGCTCTGTCTACTGTGCTACACCGTCAGGATCTAGGAGAGCCAGAGAGGGCGAATGGAAATGAGGAAGTCTAACTTGGAGAAGGAAAGCCTGAAGAGAAAACAACAGGCCATGCACACCAAGACGTGTGCCCTTTGCCACTAGAGGACCCATAGCAGGGTAGGACTTCCCAGAAATGGTATATACTACCAGTCCTGTGCAAACACTTGGTGGCCTGTTACATGTGCTAGTGAGATCCCCCAGGGTGGCTGGGGCCCAGGGACACCAGTCAGGGCTGCCATAGATGGGATGCAGAGTCATGTAGCAGTTAACTTCATGGGTACTGGAGGCAAACAGGTGGATCTGACTGGCTCCATGACTTTAGAACCTGCTGACCTTGGGCCGGGCGCAGTGGCTCATGCCTGTAATCCCAGCACTTTGGGAGGCCCAGGCAGGTGGAACATGAGGTCAGGAGTTCGACATCAGCCTGGCCAACATGGTGAAACCCCATCTCTACTGAGGATAAAAAAGTTAGCTGGGCATGGTAGCATGAGCATGTAACCAGTTACTCAGAAGGCTGAGGCAGAGATTGCAGAGAGCTGAGATCGTGCCATTGCACTCCAACGTGGGCAACAGGGCAAGATTCTGTCTCAAAAAAAAAAACAAAAACAAAAAACCTAGTGACCTTGGGCAAATCACCTGACTCTCAGAACAGCTGTTTGCTCTTCTGTAAAGCAGGGTAATAATGTCTGGTTTAGTGGTGCTGTGTGGATCCAGTGGTACAGGGAGGTGGAGAGGCGTGGGAAGCACTCAACACAGTGCCTGCCAGGAAGTCACCTCCATCCCAGCAGTCCTCATTCCAGAGTTCTTAACCCCAATGCTAAACTACCTCCTAGACCACCGGATCCTCCTCCCAAGGTCCTCTTCTCACAAGACCTCTGAATTCCTGCAGCTCAGGACCTCACTTCAGGAGGCATGGACAGGGCTTGGTCAGGGGCTGCTCTCTGAGCAAAGGGCCTGGGGCAGCTGTTTATTCTCACCTGGCACCACTGCCCACTCTAGCTGAGCTGGGCAGAAGCAGGCATGCAGCCATTAACTGAGAAATATATGACATGACAGAGTGGGAGGGAGTGCAGGCCACGGGGAGCAGTGCCCCAGCTCCTGAAGGGCTCTGATCTCAGAACATCCCCTAAGTGCCTGCAAGCAAGGAGTCAACAGCTGCCCTCCACAGTGTGGCCAGATTCGGCAAACAAAAATACAGAACACCAGGCTGGGCAAGGTGTGGCTTACACCTGTAATCCCAGCACTCTGGGAGGCCAAGGTGGGCAGATGATGACGTCAGGAATTTGAGACCAGCCTGACCAACATGGTGAAATACGATCTCTACTAAAAATACAAAAATTAGCTGAGCATGGTGGCGTGTGTCTGTAGTCCCAGCTACTCAGGAGGCTGAGGCAGGAGAATCGCTTGAACCCGGGAGGCAGAGGTTGTAGTGAGCTGAAATCGCACCCCTGCACTCTAGCCTGGGTGACAGAGCAAGACTCCATCTCAAAAAAAAATACAGAACACCCAGTTAATTTCCAACATCAGATCATGAATAATTGGTTAATATGTCCCACATATTGCCTGAGACATACTCATATTAAAAATCTGATTGGGGGCCATGCATGGTGGCTCAAGCCTGTAATCCCAGCACTTTGGGAGGCCGAGGCAGGTGGATCACGAGGTCGAGAGATTGAGACCATCCTGGTCAACATGGTGAAACCCCATCTCTACTAAAAATACAAAAAAAAAAAAAAAAAATTAGCTGGGCATGGTGGCGCGTGCCTGTAATCCCAGCTACTCGGGAGGCTGAGGCAGGAGAATTGCCTGAACCCAGGAGGCGGAGATTTCAGCGAGCTGAGATCGCGCCGTTGCACTCCAGCCTGGGTAACAAGAGCAAAACTCCGTCTCAAAAAAATAAATAAATAAATAATAAAAGTAAAAATCTGATTGTTGTTGATCTGAAATTCAAGTTCACCTGGTCATGTATAGGAGATTCTATATATGACCTGGCAACCCTGATCCCTCAGGGCCTCCCAGCACTTTCTTGTCTCTGGTAGTGGCCAAGACCCTTGGAGACAGGGGGTCTTATGTGCCAAGTCAAGGGAAGGACCAGCCTTTTCATCCTGGATACAGAAAGCCAGCATAGCTCATACCTGTGGATGCTCAGCCTGTCAGGCCCAAAAAGTTGTTCAAAAAAAACCTCAGAGAGACTAAGCCCTCCCAAAGGACACAAACAGCCGAGGTCAAAGTCAGCCCTGAGTAAGCTGGTACCCCAGAAAGGACCTGGCCCTGGAGTCTGATCCCTGTGAGTTCAAATACTGACACTGCCACTTACTCCCTGCGGTACCTTGGCAAGTCACCCAATCTGAGCTGAAGTTTGCTAATCTGTAAAAAGATGACTGTATCAGCTTTCTCATAAGGTTACCTTGATTAAATAAATAACCTGGCACAACACAGACGCCCATAAATGAGAGCTCTGTCTCTCCCACCGATCTCACCTGATCCTCTCTTAGCAATTATTTTAAGCACATCCCTAATCAGAGAAAAGGCAGTTGGTGTTAACCCCACCTTGCCTGGGATAGAGTGAATACTGATACCAACAAATCTAGGTTGCTGTCATGTAAATTTCTTCCCAGCTGAACTTTCTATGCAAACCCATTCCCTTGCTCCAGCCATCTCTCCCCTCCGCTGTTGACTGGACGTTCAGGAAGGTTTGCTGAAGCATGTGTATGATTAAGAAAGGAAATGTAGCTGGCACAGTGGCTCAGGCCTGTAATCTCAGCACTGTGGGAGGCTGAGGCAGGGGGATCACCTGAGGTCAGGAGTTCAAGACCAGCCTGGCCAAAATGACGAAACCCCATCTCTACTAAAAATACAAAAATTAGCCGGGCATGGTAGTGGGCGCCTGTAATCCCAGCTACTTGGGAGGCTGAGGCAGGAGAATCGCTTGAACCTGGGAGGCGAAGGTTGCAGTGAGCTGAGATCACGCCATTGCACTCCAGCCTGGGCGACAACAGTGAAACTCAGTCGCAAAAAAAAAAAAAGGGAAACGTGTCCAATGCAAGTCATAGCACATATGTTGTATAATAATAAACGTGTATTAAGCCACTGTTTTGTAACCATCTATCTCTCAGGTTCCTTTAGTCCCAGACACCAACAGGGTGCTAAATGCTTTGTCACTCATGAGTAAGAGGACATTCCCGGATACTGCCTCAAAGGAGGCTGCACTAAGACCCAAAATGGCCGGTTTGGCTCAAGGTCCACAGCTTCCTGACCAAAGTTAAAGCCCCTAGCCCCACTAACGCAAACAGAGCCCAGACACGGGGGCGGTGGGGCTGGGCGGGGAGAAAAAGAACAGCCGCTGGCACCAAGACCCGGCTGAGCTCAGGGCTCGGGAAATGAAGACACCCCAGGAAGCTCTGTAGAGTTTTCCCAAGTGCACAAAGTTGGGGTTTTCTGCTTTTAAGTAATTTCTGTTGGGGTTCGTGCTTCTTGATTATGAAGTAAGGGCGCTGGATGTGTAAACTTTATAAAACGAATTGTTTGGGAACATGTGATTTCCTTAACCCGATTTAGCACAGGAGGAGGCTCCCGGGACGCTGCTGGGACCCGGGGACAGGCCCAGCCCCTGTACTCACGCCGGGGAGGTGAGCCGCCTCCAAGCCCCTCCCGCCCGCCTTCCTCCTCCTCCTCCAGGGGAATTCTGGGCGTGTGGGCCACAGCACGTGGGACCGGCCCTGCCCGCTGGAGGGTCTCAGTCCGGGAGGGGACAGCCCTAGCCCTGCCCTGCCACGTCCAACGGCCGCTCTGCATCACCCTGCTGGCCTGTACCTGGATCCTTCTTCCTGCTGTGGCTTGCCTGCCCACCTCCTTCTCTCCTGGGGTCTGTACCTTCCCTTTCTCCCTCCCATCCCTCAGTCCTCCCACCTTCCTGGAAAATGCAAATGTCCCACCCCCTCCCGCAAAGGGGACCCTGCCCCGCCCGTCGCCACCTTCAGGTTCACTGCAGGCAGCTCCATCCGGACCCAGGCCGAGGGCACCTGCGCGGCAGCAGCTGGGGCTCCTGGGCCCCAGGGGAAAAAACTTCACCGGTCCCGCCCCGCCCTTTGCGGAGACTCCAACCCCAGCGCAGCTCGCGACCACGTGAAGCGGGCTCGGGCGGGTCACGTGACCGCCGCCCGTTGCTTGGAGACGGCGTCCGCAGCGAGCGCCTTCCCCCAGGCTCCAGGCTCCCGCCGCTGCCCAGGCAGTACCTGGAGGCCGCTGGCAAAAGTTGGAGTTTCTGTCGCTCAGGAGGTTTCCTGCCTGGCAAATATCCCAGGAGGCGGGCTGATGGGACTACCTGCAGCCAGGACAACTGGGGGACCGTCCAGGCGCGAAGTGCTGATGTGGAAACAGCTTGTGCCTCATCCCCGGGGGCACCCTGTCTCCTCCCCACTTCCCTGTGTAAATGGGTTATTTAGGATACCTACCTCAGGTGATCCTTGTGAGGATTAAATGAGCTAACCACTGTTGTTAAAGAAAACGTTATTGGGACAATTGTTAAACCAGTACTGTTGAAGACTTGCTGTGGGGTGTTGGGGGGAGATCCCATAAGCGCCAAGCCTGGAGCAAAAGGCCTCAGCCTATTTCCGTATAAATAATGAAGAAGAAAGCAACTAGAAATATAACCCTAGTAGTTATTAGTTATTCATATGTGATCTTAGTTATTTATAGGTGATCTTAATTCTTTTGCTGATGCCTCTCAGGTCGGAAGTGTGAACCTCGGGTGACTTGTGAAATGAATGACACTAAGGCAAGATGCTCTAAGCCCTCTATCACGCCTGTATAAGGGCTGCTGGAGGGCGCCGCGACTGTGCGGCAGCGCCAGCGCCGGGAAAGCGCCCGCTGTTTAGCCAGCTAGGGAAGGAGATGCCCAAAATGGCTGAGACGTCTCCTTCCTGGGGAAGTTTGGAGAAAACTCCGCTTCTCCAAGCTCTTGTGGTAGGCCTGACGGCTGTCAGGTAGGCCCGCAGACATCCGGAGGCTTAACTGTTTCTATGTGATGCTGTGCTTCCGTGATCACGTTCCATGGCTACTCTCATGTTCTACTTCTGCTCCTGTTTCCTTTTTTCTTAGAAAAGATAATCAGTAAGAGTAATATAAATCTTAATATTGTAGTTCTTTCTTGATAAGTATGGAAAAGGCGCTGATGCAGTATGCTCCTTACTTCACTTCGGGCGCCAGAAATTCCTCAGCCATACCTGAACGACAAGTGACGTACTTGACCCTATCACTGCCACGCCCTATCCACCCTGCCCCCACTCTCGGACCACCAAGACCTCGCCCAACCTACCCTGCTCCCAGATTTGCAACTCAATAAAAGTGAAAGCGTCCCGGCATTCGGGGCCACTTGTGATCTCTGCGATTTGGGTAGCAGTGGATCCCTGGGCTCAAACTCTCTTTTCTCTATCTCTGTGTCTTTTATTTCTACAGTTTATCGTCTTCGCACCAGCTGGGAGAGGCTCACAGAACCCTATAGGGCTGGACCCTGCAGTAGGGTGATTGCCGTGGGGTGAGGGTTTGGGCTCAACTCGGAATACAACAAGGACCAAGGTTGGATTTGTTAAAGAGCAGAGTGAGGGAGCCAGGGGATGGAAGATTCCTAAGAGGAGACATCAAGGATCAGGGATTTCTCCCTAACTTAGCAGGACTCTTGCTGAAACTGGTCTATGCAGGCTCAGGCCCAGCAAGGACAGGAAGACACAGAAGTTCAAGGTCGAGGGCTAGTCAAGAGGAGGACTCAGAGGAGTGCAACTACAGTTTGGTCTAGGAGAGAACAGTGCCTGACACTTAGTAAATGGGCAGGACGCACAAGCTTTTGTTGTTATTATCAACACACAAGGAGGCTGAGCGAAGTAGCTCAAGCCTGTTATCCCAGCACTTTGGGAGGCCAAGGCGGGCGGATCACCTGAGCTCGGGGGTTCGAGACCAGCCTGGCCAACATGGTGAAATGCTGTCTCTACTAAAAATACAAAAATTAGCAGGGCATGGTGGCGCATGCCTGTAGTCCCAGCTACTCGGGAGGCTGAGGCGCAACAATCGCTTGAACCGGGAGGCTGCAGTGAGCTGAGATCATGCCACTGCACTCTAGCTGGGCGAGAGAGTGAGACCTTGGCTCAAAAAACAAAACAAAACAAAAAAAACCTGAGGAGCCAAATTGGTGGGAGCCCACTTTAATAAGCATACCAAAAGTTTTAGAAAACTCTAGCTGAAAGACTGTAAGAAATTCCTCCCTTAATTGTGCATGAGGAAGGAAAGGGCTGTCTCGTGCCTCACCTAGTCCTTCTCTTAAAGATTGTTGACCACTGCGCCCCCCACCACACCCCAACAAGAACATTAATTAATCCGCCCTAACTCCAGGCCCTTCCCAACATCACCTTTCCTTTAGATAACATCAGTTTTTTTTAGTGTCACCTGGGTATGGACACCTTCAGGGTATACCTGAGTGCTTGGTCTTCTTCCTAGGATGGGGGAAACCAGGTGGGAACCCACAAAACTGCCTGAGTGAGTCTTTGTATAATATCAAGACCTGGGGCCGGGTGTGGTGGCTCACGCCTATAATCCCAGCACTTTGGGAGTCCGAGGTGGGTGGATCACGAGGTCAAGAGATTGAGATAAATATATATATATATATATATATATTTTTCCTTTCTTGTTGACTATCCTGGTCAACAAGGTGAAACCCCATCTCTACTAAAAATACAAAAATTAGCTGGGCATGGTGGTGTGCACCTGTAGTTCCAGCTACTTGGGAGGCTGAGGCAGGAGAATTGCTTGAACCCAGAAGGCGGAGGTTGTGGTGAGCCGAGATTGTGCCGTTGCACTCCAGTCTGGATAACAAGAGCAAAACTCCGTCTCGAAAAAAAAAATATCAAGACCCGGGCCAAGCACATGCCGAGCTCATGCCTGTGATCCCAGCATTATGGGAGGCTGAGGCGGGCAAATCATGAGGTCAGGAGTTCAAGACCAGCCTGACCCACATGGTGAAACCCCGTCTCTACTAAAAATACAAAAATTAGCCAGGTGTGGTGGTGGGCGTCTGTAATCACAGCTACTCGGGAGGCCTAGGCAGGAGAATTGCTTGAACCCAGGAGGCGGAGATTGCAGTGAGCCGAGATTGAGCCACTGCACTCCAGCCTAGGCAGCAGAGCAAGACTCCACCTCAAAAAGAAAAAAGAAAGAAAGAAAATATATATATATACACATATATATCTATACACACACACATATATATATACACACACACACACATATATATGTGTGTATATATATATCAAGACCCAAAGTCACTCCAGATCCGAAGAAAGGGTTTCTCTGGATGGATGAGGACAGTTTTGCAGGCTGCAGGGCCCATAAGCCTAACTTAATGCCCCGTTAGGAGGCACAGATCCCCCCAGTCTAGGGGGAAGCGCCATCCAAGGGGGAAGTGCCATCCAGCATCCGCCATTGTAATGAAGAGTGGGTAAATTAAAGACCAGCCAAATGGCTGCATGCAATGTGATTTAGGACTGGTTGCTATTATTATTAGTTCATTATTGGTAATTAATTATTGTTATTAGTGAAGTGCTTAGAAGAGTGTAATTTCTGAGCAAGTGGTCAATATTAGAATATTATGTTGTTATTATTTATCAGTTTTTTGTTTGTTTTTTTTTTTTTTTTTTTGAGACGGAGTTTTGCTGTTGTTAACCAGACTGGAGTGCAATGGCACGATCTCAGCTCACCGCAACCTCCATCTCCTGGGTTCAAGCGATTCTCCTGCCTCAGCCTCCTGAGTAGCTGGGATTACAGGCGTGTGCCACCATGCCCCTCTGATTTTTGTATTTTTAGGAGAGATGGGGTTTTGCCATGTTGGCCAGGCTAGTCTCAAACTTCTGATCTCAGGTGATCCACTCACCTCGGCTTCCCAAAGTGCTGGGATTTCAGGCACTGCACCTAGCCTGATCAATTTCCTTTTAAAAAACATTTCCCGAATACTCCAGCTTCTAGAAGGATTTAATCCAGTCCTTTAGGTATATAATAAAATTGTGATCACTTTGTAAGTAAAAAATGCAAAACAGGCCAGGCGCAGTGGCTCACACCTGTAATCCTAACACTTTGAGAGGCTGAGCCCAGTGGATTTTTTCTGCTATCTGGGCTCACTGCAACATTACCTCCTGGGTTCAAGCAATTCTCTGCCTCAGCCTCCTGAGTAGCTGGGATTACAGGTGCCCACCACCATGCCCAGCTAATTTTTGTATTTTTAATAGAGACGGGGTTTTGCCATGTTGCCCAGGCTGGTCTCAAACTCCTGGGCTCAAGTGATCCACCTGCCTTGGCCTCCCAAAGTGCTGGGATTACAGACCTGAGCCACCACGCCCCCTGCCAAAGGAAGAATTCTTGTTCCATGTCTGCCTCAGGGGAGAGAAAGGGGCTGGACACAGGAGGTCGGGAGGCAGTCACAGAGACATTGCTTTTGAGGCCTCCAATCTTCTTTAGTTCACAGTACTTAGCATGCCAAAGCGCCAGATATTGGGGTGACATTTACTGAGCCCCAACAGTAGTTATCATGCAGCAGACAGTGTGAAAGTGCTTCATAGTGGGCTGGGCACGGTGGCTCATGCCTATAATTGTAGCACTTTGGGAGGTTGAGGCAGGTGGATCACTTGAGGTCAGGAGTTCAAGACCAGCCTGGCCAATATGGTGAAACCCTGTCTCTGTTAAAAATACAAAAATTAGCTGGGCATGGTTGTGGGCGCCTGTAATCCCAGCTACTTGAGAGGCTGAGGGAATTGTTTGAACCCGGAAGGTGGAGGTTGCAGTGAGCCAAGATTGAACCACTGCACTCCAGCCTGGGCAATGGAGTGAGACCCTGTCTCAAAAAAAACAAAAAAGAAAGAAACTGCTTCATAGTAAATGCTCACAACTCTATGGCAGGTTCTGTTCTTATCCCTGTTAACACTAAGGCGATTGAAATCAACAGAAGTGAAGCAGCTTGCCATGGGCACAGCACTAATTGCTGCCGGAACTGGGGTGGGACCCAGGAGGCCTGGCTCCAGGACCCTGATGTTTAACCACAGAGCAGGAAAATCCAGCCAGGGCTGAAATGAGAAGGATAGAGCGAAGCAAGGAGGGGAAGACATGCTGGATTGGAA